GTAAGTGGACATGTGGTATACAGGAGTAAGTGGACATGGGGTAAGAAAATTAGGGGGAAGTGGAAGTGAGGCCAGCACTGTCACAAAGTAATAATCTTCACATCGAGTTGTTGGAGGAAGGCCAAGAACTGCCCCTAAAAGAGAAAAAGAACTAACATCTAATGAACAGGGACAGAGTAGAAGGGAGGAAACTCTGTGCATGTTAATAAAGTGGACAGTAGGTGTCAGCAGTGAGAACAGAGAGGGTGCAGCTGGAGAGATGGCCCAGCCAGTCAAGGTGTTTGCCACCAAGCTGATGAACTGAATTCCATTCCCAGTACCCTGAGTTCGAAGAAGAAGAGAACAGACTCCTGCAAGTTGTCCTTTGACCTCTGTACACATGCCAGGGCACATGCATGCCCACACATTAACACACATGTAGTAAATAGATTAGATATAGATAGATAGATAGATAGATAGATAGATAGATAGATAGATAGATAGATAGATGCATGCATGCAGACAGATGGCACATGCATGCCCACACATTAACACACACATAATAAATAGATTGGATGGATGCATAGATATAAAAAAGAAGAGAGGACGGATCTAAAAGCCAGAGGGACAGATTCTGAGAAACTTAGGAGTAGGTCGGGGTAGAGATGAAAGCAAATAGCTAGCAGATAGCTAGTACTCAGGTCAGGAACATTTAGTTTGGGATTCACGCTTGAGGAGACATCACCTTGGCTAGAAATGTCCATGAGAGGAGCTGAGAGCATGGAGCTTCAGTGAGTAATGGATATCCACGTGGAATATACCGGGGATGGTGAGAAGAGGATATGGCAGGGACTGGAACCTCAATGCTACAGTCTAAGGCAGTGTCTCCCAGAGGCACACACAAACACTAGGTAGGTTGGCATGCCTTTGTAATCTCAGCTCCAGGGAACCAAGGGAGGAGAATCTCTAGGGCTTTGCTGGCCCAGCAGCCTAGTTGAAGCTTGTTCACGAGGTAGTGCTATTAGGAGGCTGTGGAACCTTTGGGAGGTGTGGCCTAGAGGTTACTGGAGCATGTCAGTGTATGAGATTGTGGGGTGCTGGTTTGTCCGTATTCGTTCCTGGATGAGAGGAGCAGTTTTATGTGCTCCTGTCACGGAAGGCCTCACCAGAGACCCAAAGGAATGTGCCACTTAACTTGCCCTGGAACTTCCAAATCTGAGAGCACAAATAACTCCTTTTTCTTTGTGTGTGTTGGGGGGAAGAGTACATGCATGCACACATGTTCATGTGTGTGCTTGTGCATGTGGAGGCCAGAGGTCAATGCTGGGTGTCTTCCTCTATCATTCTCCAGCTTGTTTCGTGAACCAGGGTCTCTCACTGACCCTGGAGCTTTACCAAGTCAACCAGACTGCCTGGCCAGCAAGCCCTGGGGATTCTCCTAGCTTGCTTCCCTAGAGCTGAGCTTCCAAGCACATGCCAACCATAGCTAGCTTTTTATGTGGGTGCCAAGAAAAAAAATCAGATCCTCATGCTTAAACAAGCAGCATTTAACCAACTGAGCCATCTTCCAAGGCCCTCCTTGTTCTTTCGTGTGTGTGTGTGTGTGTGTGTGTGTGTGTGTGTGTGTGTGTGTGTGTGTGTTTACATGGTGTGTTTGTGTAGGTATTTGTGTGTATACTCACCCATGTATATGTGCAATGAGTCTAGAGATCAATCCATGTCCAGCATCTTCACTCAGTGCTTTCCACCTTATTTGAGACAGGGTTGCTGACTGAGTATACAGCTCTCGTTTCAGCTAAACTGGCTGGCCAGCAAACCCAGGGATCCTGTCTCCATTCCCCAGCATTAGGATCATATGCACGTACTTCCATGCCTACCTTTGCCATGCACGCTGGCAGATCCAAACTTTAGTCCTTTTGCTTACACATCAGGCACTTTACCCACCGCTCTCCACAGACTCCCTCCCCCACCCCTTTTATTTCTTTAGATAAAGGGTTTTATAGCCCAGGTTGGCCTCCAACTCACTGTGTAGCTGGGGATGACCTCTAACTCCTGAGTCTCTTCCGTCTACCTTCCAACACTGGCAAATGCTAAGATTTCAAGCTAAGTGGCGTCTTCTAGTGGCAGAAGACCCAACAACCAGGGGACACTAGGTTAGGGGTAAGGAGAAAGGTCAGAAAAGGGGTGCAGTGGTTTTGAAGGAGTGACAATCACAGTGAGTTTCCAGGAAGGATTCACATGAATGAAGAAAGATGTGACGAGCTCAGGTTTTGTGTTGATCTTTCTAGGAGGCGGCCTATGAGCTCTTGGTTACACCCCCAATTCATGGACTGGAATGACCCTCATTGAAGTGTTCCAGAGTCCACAGCACAGGTGGTCTGCAGACTCATCCTCCTACCCACCTCTTCCCAAGAGAGAAAGGAAACCTCCTGAGCCTTCTTCCTAAGCAACGTGCTTTTAAAGTAAGATTGATTTTGATTTTATGTGTGCATATGCCTGCTTGTCTGTATTGTATGTGCAGCATGTGTGTGCAGGTGCCCAGTCGTCAGTAGAGTTCCAGGTGGTTCTGAGCTGCCTGGTGTGGCTTTTGGAACTGAACCCTGGTCCTCTGTAAGAGCACCAAGTGCTTTTTAACCGCTCAGTCATCTCTCCAGCCCCCAGCAATGTGCTTTGTTTAAAAACCTATTTCAGTTCCGCGACAGTCAGGGCTAAACTGGGAAACCCTGTCTCAAAAAACTAATAAATTAGAAAAAAATAACAAAACAAAAAAACAAAACAAAAAACCAACTCCTTTTGTGGCAACTTGCCATCTCCATCAGTCACCAAACTAGAGCAGAGGATAATCTTGAACTCCTGATCCTCCTGCATGCATCTCCTCCGTGCTGGGATTATAGGCACACAGCACCTTGCCTGGGTTTGCGAAGTGCTGGGAATGGAAGCTGAGACTTCATGCATGCTAGGCAAGCACCCTACCGACTGAGCTTTATCACCAGCTTTAAGCACAAACTGTTTTGTTCAGCATTTTCTCCTTACACATCCAACATTCTGACTACTTCTCCCGAGTCGTTAGGATACATAGGATAGGTTGAAATGCCTAACAACAATTCTTTTAAGACATGTCTACAAAGAATGTTGTGCTTAAAAATAACATTAAGCCTGGTGTAGGGATACACACCTTTAGTCTCAGCACTTGGGAGGCAAAGGCAGGCAGATCCCTGTGAGTTTGAGGCCAGCTTGGTCTACACAGAAAATTCCAGGACAGCCAGGACTACATAGTGAGACTCTGTCTCAAAAAAAATGTTAGCCAGGCGGTGGTGGCGCACATCTTTAATCCTAGCACTCAGGAGGCAGAGGCAGGCAGATCTCTGTGAGTTTGAGGCCAGCCTGGTCTACATAGAAAAT